TAAGATGAACTCTGACTGCCGCGTAGAGATACGTATTGGATGGAGAAGTCTTTGTTTTTTTGTTACGTGAGGACGGCTGATATGTACATGCTGCTTTATTGGTGAGGATGACTCAGATGTATATCAGCATCAATTGTTAGTCTCGGTGGCTGCTATTTGGTTTGCCTGCTTCCTTTATGTTCGATCATCCTCGGATCGTGGTCGCTGCTTTCATCTACGCCTCATCGAACTTCACGACTAGCATACGTATGTTCATCATAGTTCCTTCGGAGTACTCTTCCGGCGGTACGATTACGATCTTCAAAACTGCCGAATTGACGTGAGTAAGGAGGCAGAAGACGGGTTGGGGGGGGGGGGGGGGGGGGGGGCTTGTGTGCGCGTGGGCGGGGAGGGCGGTTTGTGATTGCCACAACGACTCGCGTGGATAGCGCGTTGGCAGTTTGTTTTGCATGTTTTTTCTGCGTGTCTCGATGGATGACGTTTTGTTGAGAGCTGCGTTCTTTCGCGGCTAGTTGGTTTGGTGATTTGCAGTTTTGGCTGAGGAAGAAAGCGTACGTCGTTCTACAGCAAAATCTCGCTGGGACCCACGAAACTTCTCTGAGTTGTGTTAATTTTTCTCCGCGCCTTTTCACTGCACCACACCGTAAGAGTATTCCTCACAATGGTCCATCTCAACCCCCCCCCCCGACCACCACCACCACCACCACCACCACCGCTTTGAATTTGAAAACACAGAACCCCGATCTCACCATCCGGCTCAAGCTGCCCCGCTCGGGCAGCGACCTCGGCGCTTCCGAGTTCGGCCGCGTCCGCAAGAAGACCCTCAAGGCGGAGGAGGCCGGCGGGTCGGCCGGGAGCAGCGCCCGCCGCGCAGCGGCGACGGCCGCGGCGGAGGCGGAAGAGGCGAAGCGGCGGAAGGGCGGGGCCGGCGGCGCGGGCCCCGCGGAGCGGTGGCCGGTGGTATCGACAGCCCCGGCATACGAAGCCGCGGCCGCTGTGGCGGCCGGGGACGGAGAGGCCGGTCGCGGGGAGGGAGGGGTCCCACACTCGGTCGGTGGCGGCGGCGGAGCGGCTCGTGGACTCGTGCATCGGGGCCGCACCGCTGGAGGGCATCGCGGCGGCGGTGCTTCTCCGGAGGCGGTCTTCTTCCGCTTCCGGCTGCCGCAGGGGTAAGGGTGCGTCGTTCGGTTTGTAAGAATATGTAGATGTTACAAGGCCCCCCGTTCCGGGATGTAGGCGCATGCCATCCCGGGGGTGACTCAAGTTGAAAAGCATGTCAACTGCTGTGCCGTCTGAAGAGGCAGACAAATACTATGTGTCGCACAGACTTCTCCACTTAACTGATCGCGGCAATGCACGTTCTGTCTCTTTTCGCTCTAAGAACAGTTCCGAAAAAAATCGCATTGTAGAAGCACATGCGTATGGCGTGCGGCATCGCGCGAGGGTACGCATGCGCTTGTAGCGTGCGACAGCCAGCGGCGTTGTCGCTCGATGCTGTTGTTTCACTGCTACTATCGTTGTATTCGCACCAGTTGCTGTGTGGTGGGTGTGTAGAAAGCAATCACAGCAGCTGTCTGGGCGCGTCGGCGTGTGGCGCGGGACAAAAAAAGTTATGTTTCAGTTTTCATCCCGTTCGAGGGGGCTTTTATGCTTCGGATTCCCAACCCCTGAAAATAGAGCTGGTCCCAGCGACTTTAGGCGTTCCTAACGCGCACCACCGGTGTCTCGCGAGCCCCACATGTAGCGGGCGATGTACCGACGGGTCCTCTGCATGCCATGCAGAAGAAAGTGCGAGACGATACACTGTCCCAGCAGAGAAAAAAGAACCCGACCACCAAAAAGTTGAAATCCTACATATGCATATGGTGAGGTTTTCCCAATGATGCGGGTGTCTTACGGTCGCCAATGCGTTTCCCTCCTCCTCTCTTCTTGCTGTATTATAGGGTGGTTATCGGTTATCGTTGTGATGCCTGTCGGAGGACTGACTTGTTCTCGTACCCCCCCCCCCCCCCCCTTTTCATTGAAAACTTCCTCCACACACATTATTCTTTTAC